TTCTTCCAGCACCAAATGGCAAATGAGATAAAGGATAACCCGGGATACCCTTCCGGTCATAGGATCTTTGGAAGATTGTTTGGTAGTAGGGTGTATCCACAAATCTCACAGACAGGTCTCTCTTCTGGATTTCCCTGCACTCGATACGGTCGCGAGGGCGGCCCCCGGTCGCAGTTTCTGTGATACAACGGAGTTTTCGCGACTGTGTAGCGTCTTCTTGAGGTGAGTCGAGGCTAAGCCGCTTGATCTGACAAGGCCCTGCCACATATTTCGCAGCTTTTACAGCAATTGTTTCATCGTCACTAGGTCGAGGCCAAGTCGCCGAAACATACTTGTACAGTCTGTTGTAGAGGAGTTTGGGGACATGCTAGTCACCACATGACTTTTTCAATGTGTTCCAAATCCACCCTTCTTACAACATCCACCATTGAACCATGGAACGGGAGCCTCTCTGTCCTATAAGCTCCAATATTGAGTGTAATAAGGAGCTTAGTCCAGCTATGAGAGAGGGGCATGAATAGCAGCCTACATGTGAATTCTCAAAAAGACCATTTATACTACTCTCTACTGAACACTTTTGAGAACCAATTGCATAACCAAATCTTGATCTGGCTGTCTGAAATCTCTCTTACCTCTAGAGCAGAGATCAATCCTTCAATATATAAAGCAAAATTCTTTAATGACTTATGAACTCCTCAAAACTGAGCTTGAATTGAGTGTGTGTTGGAAAAAACCTTATACAACTACATTCAAACCACTGGATATGCCAAATGGAAAGCCCAAAAAACACCTAAAACTCACACCAGAGATAGCCCTGAAGTGATACAACTGAATCTTGAAATATAAGAACTGAACATATAAAGAATGGTTAAAGATTATCTGGTCAGATGAGTGTTTGATTGAGCTTGATTCTGAAAAGTGGAATAAGTGGGCATTTTGACTAAAAGATGCAACATAAATACAGCTTCAAATTCAACTTCGAGGTAAAAGAAACCACAAATTGCTCTGCAAAATCCTATTTACACCGTTCGGCTTGAACCATCTCCACACTTCCCCCCGCAACCATTTATTCCCTTGAGCACTTGGCTCGGCGTCCTCGCATAGCTTGGAGGAACATCAAGGACAGGGTTTCTATCAAAGAAGTTCCTAGGGCGGAGCAACAAAGTCATCGGCTCAGCGGGCATGATGGGGAAGTCCTCGGGAGATGGGAAGTGAGTGATGCCAAAAGTGTGCCAGAGCACAACATCGGTGTTTTCGATGGATTCGTTCTCGGTTTCCGAGATCCACATTGGCAGGCCATGGGAAGGTTCGCCAGACGTTTGGGGAACGTGACGGCCGGCCGGGTGAATTTGCTCATCGGAATCTGCAAGGTTGGTTAGACTTGGGATTCCCTTGGAAATATCAAGAGACAATGGGATAACACTGACATTTAGTTACGTGGACTGCATGTCTTGCAAATCCAGCTCGCTTCCAAACCAAACCGCCTTCCCTGGGCAGCAACGATGGGACCTCTCTGCTCACCAGCTTATAGCTGACAGGCTTCTTGCTATAACGGTTCAATTTGTTTGTATTCGCCATTTCCCATGTACGGCTAGTAGAGCCATCATAGTCTGACATGGCTTCCTTGGGGGTACTAAATTTAGTTTTCTTGGCATAGAAGGCATTACCATGCTTGTTCTCTGCGCTGCCGACTTCACCAGGCCCTCGAACAGCATCAACTTGAAAGACGGTGTTATTCGATCCGTCGATGTTGGGGTCGACACGAAGGCAGAATAGATGCTGATGATTGTGAGCGTTGACACCAGGATACACTTCAGTTCCCCAACCATATGTATCTTCACCGGGGTTCATGGCATAAGTATTGAGAATACCGGTCAGTTTAATATCAAGCTGCACAGTGCCGTCCTGGTGGAAGATCCAGTAGACGCAGTACTCGTAGTTTGCCGCGGTGAAAATATGCGAAATAATGAGTTTGCGGCCACGAGTCACAATAACTGAATCGTCACGGAAATCGGTATGTTTGAACAAAATTCCGGCATCTTCTTCGTGGATACAAATAGCATTCTTGACAATAGTGCTTGCACCAGCAGCGTTGACGAAAGCCGCATCCATATAATGGATAGCACCTTTACAGTCACAGCCAAGCGTCAAGCTATTCGTCATATATCCGCCACCATATTCACCCAAGTCGAAAGCATGTTTGCGCTGATGTGGGTGTTCTGGGTTTCCGTAGGGAACAACCATCTCGGCCAGAGAAAGGCGGTAAAAGACTGGGCGCACTGTGCCTTTATCGTTGTATGTGATATTATTCAGCACGATACCCTCCCGGTAGTTGAAGCCAACGTGAATGTTCCAGTTCTGCCACTCGATGTGCTTGCCGTTGACTTTGAAAGAAACACCATCAGGCTGAGTAATGTTGATTGTAGCGATGTCATTACGGAAACCGCCTTCCTTTTCAATTGCATCGACATGATAGTTAATGGGAGCCGCTTTGCTGATCGGTCTGCGAACTGGTGGGACATCAATATGGATGAATTCCTTGGTTTCGGCGTTGAAGATGGGGCAAAAGTCCAGTGGGAAAGCATATTGGCAATCATCGATAGTGGGCCGGTAATACATAAGGGCTTGCTGCAAACGGACGCCATTTCCAAACCGTTCGTCGTATCCAATTGTCCAAGCTGAAATGTCATTTATTAGCTCGTTTTCGTTTGCCAGACACCACAGGCTCAAGTGTACTCACGATCGCAATAGACTTTGTCCATGTCGCTTTTCGGAATCCCAATAATCTCGCATTGTTCGATAATCTTGGGATCCTTTCTCATCAAGGTCTCGACCGACTGCAGGTCCTCCATCGTGATCAATGGTTGCACGCCCGGCGTGTGCTTCCATTCAACAATTTTCTTCTCCGTCAAATCAACTACGCCGTCGTAGACCTTGCCACCGGGCACAATGACCACTGCATCAGCCACTCGATGAGGCCTGGGAGCATTGTGCGGATTTGCCAGCCAGGCCATCATTTCCGACTTTCGCGGCTCCCACAGCGTGACTGCATTGAATCGAACTGAGCCATGTTCTGCACGGATAATGGCCACAGCGGCATCTATTTCCGCTGTGGTGAGAGGATCAAAGGGATGAGGGGTCGGAGATGTCCCATCCACATGAAGGGATAGCTGCTTCAAACGATCTAGCACCATCTTTGCAGGGGGCTTGAATTGGTATTTGGATAGCCCAGAGGAAATTGATCAACACTGTAGGGGAAAAATAGCTGGAGACCGAGAACAGGTAAGAAGGCCAGGACAGCTATATGTAGGACAAAGGCGTGAGGGGAAAGCTGCCATACTATCCGCATGATAGGCGAGCTTGAAGTTTGGAAAGCAACCAACTCCGGCCCCGCAAAGTAGAACTGACACCCCATTGGAGAGTTGTAGAGCAGGAACATCGACGGGTACGAGTTTTAGGATAGAGGTGAGAATCCTCCCAAGCAAAATAGCTGTGGTTGTGGGCATCTGGATCAACGGCTTGGAAGCTTCATCTCCAGTCCGTGGGAGATGGGATATTACCGCCGATATCACCTATCGGCAATAATGGCTCTTGTGATTAGCACGGTTAGGACATTCAGGCCCTCTTTGCCTCTCTGTACGGCGAACGCAATGGGTTGCTGCTGATACGTTTGCCGCCGACGAGCCACATTGATAGATGAAGTAGGGGGATTGTTTTTCCTGATCGGGTCTAGCGCGGATGCCCCTTGATCGATTCTGGAAGCCAGACCCGGACCACGAAATGTGTATCAGGAACCGCGCCCGACTAACAGAATTACGCAATTTCGGAGGTATCAGGTACCAGCCGGGAGATTCTCTATCTCGGCTCCCCGCCCCGCTCGCCGTAACAGTCGGATGCTGGTGGGATCGATGAGTTGGACATCTTTTGCGGGTTGGATTGGATTGCCGGAATGGTGCTACGCAGACATCAAGGAACCGGCTATACCTTACCGATGAGGATAGGGAGATTTGCTGACGGCGATCGCACTTGTAGGCAGGCCTGGATATATAGCCGGCGAGATGCATGGTTTGCCTTGAACTCGGCATGCAAATTGTTCCAGATCACGACCCCCAACTGCTCTGACTCCCCTCACCAATAATGCCCAGGCACCAGAGTTTATAGGGTAGCAAGAGGGGAGCAACACGCACCCCACACTCCTTCCCCGCATGGGATGCATATAGGAGAATGGGATCTATGTACAGCAGAAAATCGGGGAGAATATATATAAGATGAATGTCAATGTTCAATAAAGGTGGCTGAAAACAGGAAATATCACATTTAAAGGGGAGAATCAGGGTCTTTGGCGCCAGGATACCTTTCATGAGAAGTACGCCACTCCAACTTGAATGAGAAACCACTGGATACGCCAGGAACGCACGAATGGTGAAAAAGAGTCCAAGATATATCGAACTTGCACAGATGCATGTAAAACACGAGAGAGAAAAAGAGGCAAAAAAAGCACACTCAGGCAGCCTGCAACAACCTATACAAACAAGGAGAAAACCCAGTACCATGGACAGAATGAAACAAAAAGTAGAACCGAATAAATAGCTATGATCACAACTTGCGCCTGCTCCCGCATGCTGACATGGAAAAACAAGGGCGAAAGTATGAACCAAATACCCGCTTCAAATGTTCCCTTCACCTAAATGCTGTGCCTACCCGGTCATTAAGTTCTCCCCAACTGAAATGCCCCAAATACGCCGCCACCTCCGCCAGGAGTCATTGCGCCAACATTGCTGCTGATATGCGATTGCGGAACTGGAGTTTGATTGCTATTCAAAGCTGCGTGTCCCGTGTTTGGTGTACTCGGCGTCGCAGCGTTCGAATACACCGTGGCACCGTTCAGGTTAGGAGTTTGCTGGGGCTGGTTGCTAGGATGGTATGGTATCGCGGGTATCTGGCCGTTCAGTCCCCATATTTGACCGGAATATTTCGATTCATCAATGGTTCCATTGAACACCAATTGGCGCATCTTCCAGAATATTTCCCCTGTTACAAGCGAATCTGAGCCAGCCTGATGTGCAATCCCTACTCGCTTGACGCCCAGTTCATCCGCAATATCTTGTAGCCCTGATTTCTGCCCCAGGTTGGTTATTATCTGTGCAGCGCCCTGACTGAGCGGTGACCCGTTCACAGTCTGATTCCGACCGGCATGTTTCATGAGGAATTTGATGTCATATAAGGAAGGGAAGAAAATCGAGAGGAGTTTGTGAAATTCTTTTTCATCGTCAGGTAAAGGCTTGCAGAGCATGATCTTCATCAGATAGCCAAAGTCATAGCCAGAATGGAACGAGATCCAGTGTACGTCATCCAATAACACCAATCCAGACGTCATTAGCAAAGCACCAAACTCCAGAGGATCGATTCCATTCTTCTCGTGCATGGTGAAGTCGATTCCGGCTTTCGCTAGCATGCTAGTGGACTCTTGTGCGTACATATCATTCTCAAGAGAGAAAGTAAAATTGAATTGCCAGGTGCACGGCGCCGGAATGAGATGGTTTCCATTGGGCTGCAGGGTACCATCTGCAGGATAGGCAGGAGGAACCTCACCCTCTGCCGAAAACAAGGTGATTCCAAGTTGTATCATTTTCAGTAGGTCAACATTGCACCGCAAGGTCTGGTAGTGGTAGTCTGCTTTTGTTGTAAAAGTACCCATCGGCCGCGCGACAATTCCAGGAAACTCTGTGTCCTAAAAACAAATGTCACTGTTGATATGTCTCTTTCGTGCGAATCCCACATTTTCAAGCAAGATTTGTCCATGTACTTACCATGCTGATATATGGATATTTTTCTACCAATGCACGCAGTGTCTCCATTTCCTGCGCGAGATTATGCTTCCATACATCCCGTATCCTTGATTTATCTGCCTTGCCGTCCATCACTAAGCGCCCATCGTGCACAAGATGCGCTTGCCCCTGCTGAGCCTGCTGTTGCTGTTGCTGCTGCTGCATTTGCGCGCCCCGCAAAAATCCCATTTGAGCAGCATGGCTCGCCAGGCCCGTCCCGCCTCCATCAGGCATACCACCGCCCGCACCCCCGGTGGAAGGGAATCCGGTCAAGGTCATGCCATTCGCGCCAGGGAGCGAGAAGGGATTGATATTTGAATTCGAAGAGCCGGGACCAAATCCAGGATGGCCACCGAGGGAGGAAGGGGGTATCCCGGTACTAGCAGTCTGTGGGTGTGCATTGTGGAGCTGCTGCGATTGCTGTTGCTGTTGGAGATGTGGTTGTTGGAGGTGGGGGAACGGGCCTGCAATGCCGGACGGCCCGTATCGACCGGCAGGCGGTGGCATGATAGGGGGTTTATGCTTTGAGGTCTCTCACAGGATAATATGGATGCTGAAGTGGGATGGGCATGAAGAATCTTTGAACCAGAGGGGCCGGCAAGAGGAACAGGTGGGCTGCGCGGACAGGCTACGTGTCAAAACAGTATGAGTTAGAGCAATTCAAACGTGTGTTAACAGTTCAAGTGCTACGTACAGCACCGGCAAAGATTGCAGGCCAAAATCATTGACAATTGAGACGTTATCGCTTGAGCACCGACAGCTTGCACCGCAGCCGCCCATCGCCCAAGCCCAACCCAGTGCCGGCTTGGCCATATCGGGACTAGCCCAGAAAGAGCAGTCTGTCCAACATCCTGCTTACCTCATCCTCGAACAACATCCATTGAAGGGCATCGGAGGATGCGAATCAATTGATTCAATTCACTGAAAGGAACTGCTACGAGACAGTGATTTTACCGCGGAATACGCCAATTCCCTTTTCCTTTTTCGTCACCTCTGCGCCTGCGCTTTACCTTCCGCCCCTCAATGACAATGGCTCCCCCGAACCTCACCGGATTCGACATGAAGACCTTCAAAGCCGCAGCCAATCCCAAGTCGATATGGGCTCAGAGGGATCCATGGAAGAGAAAGTAAGACTTATATTCATACTTAGCATTCTACGCCTTGGTGCTGGGATAACTGGTCTGACATCGCCTACAGCGAAGCCTGGCGATATAGCGGGCCATTCTCCCGCATGAACCGACTCCGAAACAGCTTCCCCGGCCTTGGAATTGCGACGGTTGCGTTTGCGCTATACTGCGGGTACGAATGGGCGTTTATAAAGGACGAACATCACGGGGAAGGGCATCATTGATCTCCCAGCTAGCGGGTGGACAATAACTCTGGACGATATCCTGTGAACGCGACGATCATTGGTTGTGAAGGGGTGGACCGCGCAGTCCTTTATACACATACCCACTGACTGAGTTGGTTTTGCGGGATGTGTGGGAAACCCAGCGCCTGGCAATGTCGGAAAATACTCGTGAAAGGAGGCCTTATATTTGCATAGGTATCAAAGATGCATTGATTAAGCTTCCACTCTGTTTTTCTCTTTTTTTGACACCTCTGTACATATAAAGCATTCGATGGTGAGAAATGCTTATGATTGTTACAAAACTGCCTTCTTTAACTTTCTCGTTTAGTCCACTGTCGTGGTAATGCCAACATATCTAGATTATGTGCTTGGCCTACATTTCTAGAATACTTTGGAGGCCCATACTTTTGATTTCTCACGCTTATTCCTCAAAAATCAGAGCAACCCCGTCATCACCCGCTGTCACTATTCTTTTCCCTCCTTGATCACCATGCACAAATCCCAAGATACCCCCAGACTGTTCTCCTTCGTCGTTCTCACTGATACCCGCATGGCCTCTCCATTCCTTGAGTAGGCCATATCCAGCTGCAGCAGTTCCACCACGAGTATCCCATCGTCGAACCACACCGTCCATTCCCACCGAAGTTAGTAACCACGGTCTACCCGATGCTGGAGATGCCGGACCGGTAGGTCGTGCTGCCGCCCCGCCTTCTCGAACAAAATCTACTTTAACCACGGCTGATTCTCCATGGGCACCACGGATATGGCGTCGAACGGCGAATCGATGAGCAGCATCGAACAAAACTATTGAACCATCCACGGAGCCAGCGGCAAGTAAGGTAAGGGGGGGTGAAGAGAATGATAGTGTCTCCACACCGTCCGACTGAGCTTGGAGAGAGGCCAGCAATGTTCCCGCACCACCACCCGCGGATGGGGCTCCAGCGCCACCTTTCGATTTCCCCTTTTGCTTCGAAGATTGGTTGGAGTCGGATAACACGCGCGGGAGGCCGACAACTTTGATATGTCCTTCAGCTCCGCCAACTGCAGCAAAAGACCCCGACGGAGCTATAGCGATAGAATATAATCCTCCGTCTACAGCGAATCTCTGATCCTGAGCTGTTAGACCAACAACGGTCTGTGTACCCGCGGATGAAACAATACCAGCAGCCGCAGCAGCACCAAAGACGTCGTACACGTAGAAACTTGCATCTTCCGAGACCGTAGCCAACAGGTTTCCGTCCTGAGTCCACGCACCAGCCGTGCAGGATGCAGTATGTTGAAAAAATGACGCTAACAAGTAGAGTGGTGCTTCCGTATCTTGTTTATCGACTCGATACACCCATACGCTTCCATCATTCGCGCCCAGCGCTATCACATTCCTTTTCTCTTCACTTGTATTTTGCGAAGCAGGGCAAACTGCCAACCAGTTGATCTCCTCCACCTCTTGCGTGTCGGCTAAGAATTCCCACGACAACCCATTCAACGAAGAACTTGTATCCCTCCAGACTCTCAATTTCCCGTCTAATCCGGCCGTAAGCGCGTATTCCCCCAGCGGCTCTGTAAAGCAAACCGCATTTACCGAGTCTGTGTGCCCGTCCAGATGCGCGATAGGCTCAAGCGACTCTCTTTCTTTCCTTGGTTGGGGAGTTGTCTCGTAACTGCTGGGCAACAAAGGTCTGTCATCAGTGGACGTGGAATCGAAGATATATGCGGTATCATCTCCCGAACCGGTTATCACGATGGATGGATGCACCGGATGCTGCGCGATGCAAAATAAGGAATCTGTGTGTTTGTCGAAGTGGGCAGTGGAATCATTTTGGAGGGTGATTTCGAGGTCTTCATCATCGGAGGCGTCTTCCATATGGTGGTCATCGTCTGGGAGGATTTCTTCATCGGCCTCAGCGGGATCGAGAAATGCGTCTTCGCTTTCTTCGGCGTGAGGAGGATTATTTGTGTGTGATTGCTCAGACATGGTGAATGGCGACGTATATAGGACGAGGAAGGGGCTAATAGAAATTTTTCGCGCGAGGAGGGGCAACGCGGGGTGGTAAAAATGAGAAAACCAGCCCAAAAATTCAGTTCAATGCAGAAGATCGTTTCTCCCAGGATAATATCCAGTTAGTTGAAAATCTCAGCTTTAATATATTACTCTAATATATAGTGAATTTGTCAGATGCTGATGGATGGGCATCGAAAAGTGGATTATAAATCTAAACGTCCAGGAATATTTGATCTAATCTTATCTCCGCCCTTCGGCTGACAGCTTCTCTTGGTCTTTTTCTTTCGGCTGGCTTGAAGGCTGTCGCTGGATAGCCAGCCATCCTTTTAAACCGCAATCGATACATCTACTCCCTCCCCCAGTGGAGCCTTCTTCATAACCCGCTGCTGACCGCGCAATCAAAACAATGAGATCAGAACTGCAGATTTCAACCCTCCTGGTCCCTCCGCCTGGTCCCGCGCTGCGCCGACCGACACCTTCCAACCCCGCTCCATCATGCAATCCTCACGTATTCAACGACGCCATGGATGTTCGCACTATGATTTTTGTGAACGAGCAAGGATGTAGCCCCGAGAGCGAATTCGACGAAGATGACCCACGAAGTTGGCATTGGGTTTTTTATGATGGCCGGGCGGACAAGCAGATCCCCATCGGGGTAATACGATTAGTCCCGCCACCGCACCCGTCTCATGAAACCCTTCTTAGGGACAGCGGTGCAAGTCATCAGTTGGAACGTCACGCCGAACCCGAGGAACCGTACGTCAAATTGACAAGGGTTGGACTGTTGCCGGCCTACCGGGGTATGGGATTGAGTCGCAAGTTGGTCGATACAGCATTGGACTGGGCGGCAGAGCATAAGCATGAGGTAGTCTCTGCTGGTTGCAATAAGCAACCCTGGAATGGATTGGTACTGGTCCATGCGCAAGTCCAAGTGGAGGCATTGTACGCGCGTATGGGATTCGTGACTGATGAAAGCATGGGAACATGGGAGGAAGAGCGGATTTTACACGTTGGCATGTGGAAGAGAGTCAACGTACCGCCATAGACTAGCGGATAAGGCGAAGATTGGGCGGTTTATTTAACCGCAGGGCCGTGTAAATAGGAGAGTGGATGGCGACAGCGCGCAATTCATCATTGCAAGTTCATCTTCTTCAATTCTATCTATATCAAAGAGCTGACTTATCCGAATTGCTTGTTCGAAACAAGCATAGAGCTCTTTCTAGAAACGACAAAGCCATTCCGTCTATTTCACCGCCCATTATCTTCGGTCGTGCTTTCCCGAAACAGCCCATCGGAATGAGGGGAGTCAGCCAATCAGCGCCGCTGACGGACAAAGGACCCGCAAATAAAAAGCCGGGCACCAATCACAACATGGCTTGGCACTGGCGCTCCTTCTGCAACTGGCGCTGTTGACTGCCGAACCGACCAAGCGACGACTGCTGGACCTCGGGCTTGGTTGGAATGGGGCTGCGTCCAGGCGGCAGGATGGCTTTCTTTTTGGGAGCTCATCTCTCTCGGTTTGGGTGTTTCTAGTTGGGATCTCAATTTCGAAGTCATCCAGATTCGTGTCTGATCAGTGCTCACCATGGTTTTCCGCGCTCCGAGTTGGACAGAAGAACTGCCGCCGATCCCAGACGATGTCGCTCTGTGTGACTTTATGCTGGACGACAAGCATGGCCGGCACCCATTGGCGTCGTCGAAACACCCGTTCACCTGTGGAATGACCGGGCGGACCTATTCCTCTGCGAAGGTGGCCGAACGCGTTGATGTCCTTGCTCGAGCCCTGGCGAAGGAGTTTGGATGGCAGCCCAACAGGGGAACAGAATGGCAGAAGGTGGTGGGAATCTACAGTTTCAATACGGTACATGCCTTTTCATCGAAGTTATTTGTGTTTGGTCCTGGTTTCTCATGTTGGTCTCCCGCCTTTAGATCGATTTTCTCGTGCTTTGTTGGGCCATCCACCGATGTGGTGGTATCGCGTCTCCCGCCAATGCCATGTACTCTGGCCCTGAACTCGCCTACCAATTGAAAGATTCTGGGGCTCAATGTCTCTTCACATGTATTCCGTCGTTGCCAACTGCCCTAGAAGCAGCTGCGAAAGCTGGTATCCCGAGAAACCGAATTTATATCTTGGATCTTCCCGTCGAGTTTACAGGGGCTGGCAAGGTCCCGGAGGGCATGAGGACCCTAGAGCAGTTCATTGTTGAAGGCTACTCACTACCAAAATTGGAACGATTGAACTTTGCGCCAGGTCAAGCAGCAAAACAAACGGCGTTTTTGTGCTACTCCAGTGGAACATCCGGTCTTCCAGTACGTTGCAATCCGACGCTATCTGATCTGATGCTTGACCGGGTACTTACATTCTTAACAGAAAGGCGTAATGATTTCCCATAGGAACGTCATTGCCAACACTTTGCAAATAGCGACATTTGAAGCGCCCTTTAGAAGGTCTTTGAAACCCGCCGGCACAGACGGCTTTACGGACGTAGGCCTGGGACTACTTCCTCAGAGTCACATCTATTCCTTGGTGGTTATGTGTCATGCTGGGCCCTACCGCGGTGACCAGATTATCATTTTGCCCAAATTTGACCTCAATCAGTATCTTGATACGGTTGAGAAATATAAAATAGCCACACTTTTTGTGGTACGCTCAGCCCTGTACCCGCCTGCATACTGCTCTTGCTTACCAGAGCAATAGGTGCCTCCGATTATTCTTGCGATGCTGAGAAGCAAAGAATTATGCGATAAGCGAGATTTGAGCGCAGTAAGGAGTATTTTCACAGGAGCTGCTCCCTTGGGCAAAGAGCCTGCTGAAGAAATGCAACAATGGAAACCATCTTGGTCCATTAGGCAGGGATATGGTTTGTGCCTTTCTATCCTCACTATGCGGAGTACCGATAACTAATTGTCCCCTTTGAAAGGTATGACCGAAACTTGCACCGTAGTTTGCACTACAAGTGCGCATGACGTTTGGCTCGGCTCGTCCGGTTCAATCGTCCCTGGGTTCGAATGTAAAATCATGTCGCCCGAAGGTGTTGAACTGACAGGCTACGATGAGCCCGGAGAACTGGTTGTGAAATCTCCGTCAGTCGTACTGGGATACCTTAACAATGAGAAAGCAACCAAGGAGACATTCCTTGATGATGGCTGGATGCGTACTGGCGATGAAGCTGTCGTCCGCGTTGCCCCGAGCGGCGTGGAGCATATTTTCATCGTCGACCGAATAAAGGAATTGATCAAGGTCAAGGTACGTGGCACATTTCTGCTGCAAATAAGTAAATGGTCATGTCTAACAAAGGTCTAGGGTTTGCAAGTCGCCCCAGCGGAGCTTGAAGCCCATCTCCTCTCCCACCCTGCCGTTGCGGATTGCGCTGTTATTCCTGTCCCTGATGACAGAGCCGGCGAATTACCCAAAGCATTCGTCGTCAAGAGTCCATCAGCAGGGTTAGATAATGCAGCGACGGCACTCGCCATCCAGAAATACGTCGAAGACCACAAAGCACGACATAAGTGGCTGAAGGGGGGCGTGGAATTCTTGGACGCTATTCCGAAGAGCCCAAGCGGCAAGATCTTGAGACGCTTGCTGCGAGACCGGGAGCGAGAGGCGAGACGCAGAGCTGGCGCAAAGATTTAAAGCTGTATTGAGCGGCAAAGTAGAAAACTGGGCAAATTTTTATTTAATTTGCTTGCCATTGTATATACCATTAGAAGTCTAGACGCACATTGGAAATACACCATTTTGAATTTTTCAATGATCATTTTAGAACAGCAAATTGGAAAGGGTTTTCGTCACACCTTTCACTTGGTAAATGTTTTCGTCTCATTCATCTTACACTTTTCAGTCCAGTTCACGAACAAGGAGGCTGACCTTCCATGATCCTGGCCCATCCCACTTCGATACTGCCCTTTTCGTCGAATGTGCACAAACCGTTGCATCTCGTCCCATTCTCCCAGCATTGATTCATTTCCTTGAGAAGCACATCATAAACCATCAAAATAATTTTGTTAATGGACTTTTATAAGATTTTTTTTGATAGCAAGGTCTATGTTTCCTATGCATTGCATACAGCTCTATAGGAACCCCATAGGATATTATACGGCTTTGCCAGAGTGAAACACGCAAGTTCCACCTATGCTAACACCTCCTTGCCCTCTTTAGGGAAAAAAAAAATAATAAGTAAAAAGGAGAAAAAGGAGGAACGCCAGTAAACGATTCGCCAGACACCTTTCGCTATCCGCCCCCTTCGTCGATCTGCTTCATGGTCATTGACAACGTAAATGGAGCACATGCATCATTAGAGAAATATGGAATGATCGGAGCCAAAATTGAGAAGGCAAACCATGGGAGAGTAAGAACATGACATCCAAAAACCTCCCCTCAATGCCTTCATGGTTCTCCAAGGAGACGAGCGGTTATGTCTCCCATATAGGCCTCTTCAAGCTCGTAATCCTCTCCATCCATTCGGTCGATGCCGACGTACTTGAAGGCGGAAACAACCCTTGGGACATCGAACCCCATACTGCAAAAGCGGTCGATAAGGTCCTTATTATATCCCTCATATCTATCATGAACCCCAGTTAGCTAAAGCGGAAATAAAAGCGCCGAAACCTGATGGAACATACGCAGCAAGTTCCTCTTGTTCCTGCTCCTGCTTTGACTTGATCTCCCGTTCGCGGATTGACGCCGCGGTAGCCCCGCCACTGCTTTCGCCGATATATTTTTGTGGCGCACCTGCATGCAAGACGGCCCATTGCCGTGCAACCCGATCGAATTCCTTTGGGTTTCGGAGCATCATGTTTGCGACTTCCGCGTCTTGGGGATCTTTAGGCTCAGGGGTACTGAGCAGAGATTGAAGTGAGAGCAGGGCAGATTTGATCGTGAGGACCGGGGACCAGGCACCGCTGAGCGTATCAAGGCAAATGGCTCCCTGTGCAGAGAGAATATGACGTGAGTATTGGTTTTGGCGCCTGGATTCTGGGATTTATAGACAGACTTACAGTCTGGCTGCTGACATTCGGATGCCACAACTTGGTGTCAAACTTCATGATCGGAGGGCGGAACGGATAGTCGGCAGGGATCCTAATATCAACGCGATACGTCCCGCCCTCATATGGAGTGCCAGGGGGCCCCCGAAAAGAGCCCTTCAAATGTGTCAAGTCATCCCCGCCACCAACCGGATCGACGGTAACCTGAGAGTGGCTGTCATCGTGGATGTCTGCGAGTTCTTTGGCGATGCGGCGGATACGATTAGAAGCCATGATGAGCCGCGAGGAAGGCTGGGTTGAGTTGGCGAGGGCAGGGGGGATATAAGTCTTCGACCGTAACAAAGGGAATATGCAATAGCCGAGGGTACAAGCAATCGCTCTAGAGGTATTTCAAAGAGGCCTCGAGTCCTAATAATGAAGGTTGATGTTAGTCTTTCTTCTGGGTTCGTTCGATTGTCTCAGAGCGAAGGACAAATGGTGGAAAAACACATGTCACGATGCAGTCAGGCAGAAGCAGAGGAGGGGAAGGGCCAGATACCGTTCGTCTTCGAGATGTAGAGTCTGGGAAATGATAGGCAAAGCGCAAAGACGCACTGGGAAATCTAAGGCTGCACGCCTCGTCAGTTGTGAATCATGGGTGGACCCAAGGAAAAGGACTCGGAAGTGGGAAGCTTACAGCCAGGGTAACTACAAGACAGCCGTGGTGATCAAAGAGGAGCAGTCAATGAAGGTGGACAGGCAAGGAGTGAAAACAAAAGGACGAAAACTTGATGCGCCCAGATCCAGCAAAAACCGCAGTGAGGCGAATGGAGATGTGATGATGCGACCTTCTGCAGCGCTTATGATTTGTTTCTCGTCCAATGTTCACGAACTAACGAACTGACTAGGCTCCCTCTGACAAGGGACGAATGAGCATCACAGGGATTCTCGCCCAGCAGGCAGAGAACCCACGATCTCAGCCACTCTCCATCTCACAGTATTGCTGCCTGCGGTTCTCATCAGCCTTGGATCCTCGTCAAGCAGTCTCGTCCTGAAGGCTGAACCACTATGAATGCAGGTCTTGAGATTCGAGTCAACAGTTACTTTACGGAGTCCAGAGAATACGGATCCTGTCATGGGGAATTCCATTCTGAATGAAATACATCCACCCAGTGAATGATCCAGCATGGTCAAAAGAGAGCCATTAATTCACTACTCCTCAAGGTCCAAAGGGGGCTAAGTTCCATGAAGCCAGTTTTCTGATGTGAATGAGACGAAAATCACATCAGCTATGGAGTTGATGCGATGAAGGGAGCTTTGGGTATATATACCCCCCAAACCTCAGCTTCTTACCCAGCTACAACTTCTTTCTATATGTCGTTGTTTCAGCAGAGGATGGCACCGCTTGCTGACTTGGACTTGAGCCTTGCAAGCTTGCGGTTGGCGATGGCAGGCAGATCGATGCGATGAGAACACACCATGGTGTTGAAGGAGCATCAGATCTCAGAGTCTCACTCCTATCGGCTAATCATATGTCCAGAATTTATCCGATCGGAGTGTTCCGTGGATCTGTTTATTATTATTCTGTTTCTCTCAAAACAACTTTCTTTTTCTTTGGTCGCACACATCATGATGATATCCTCAACCTTTATATTTTGAGATAATAATGCCGCGAAAGCCAAACCAAACGATGGAACGACGAAGCGACTCAGCCATGGATCTCGAATATGGCATATGTCATACGCACCTCGGACTCGACGCGAACTCTCCTACTCCCGGGCCGCGATGGGAGTCAAAATACAGTCATCTCGAGTACGTCCTGTATTCTTTTCACCATATACTCCTCTACAAACATAAATATCGCTTCGCTACCAATACCATAACTATCACCGACTATCTCGATTATCTACCAAAGACTACGCCCGATAACAAGCCCTGTGACATACAAAAACAACTCTAGCCGCAGATTTAAAAAGGCGTCCGGAACTACCGGCGCCATACAGTATATGCTAAAAAGGCCCTATTGCTGATAGTAATTAAACTAGTAAGTCGAATCGCTACTCTGTGTGTTGACGCCTTTTGATAGTCATCGTTCTACGCTCCAAGAGAGATGAATGCTCTCTTCCCCGTGTGCTTCGAGCACAGTATAGTGCCTTGAGCAATACCACCTATACCAAGCCTGTTCGAGTAATTTGATACCCTTTTCTTGCCGTTCACCTCGATCTCTTTACTGGGATATATACCTCTTGATATCGTGAATATGTCTCTGCACTTGTTACAGTCATTTATAACATTTTGTTCTCTATTCTCGCACCCTCGTCACTTAACCCCCCTGTTTTCATTACACCGTTCAGTGAATGCTTGTATTGCAGCTGTGATCAACAGCTCCTTAGCGCCACTTGCTATATATACATAAACCCTTTCGGCTTCCGGGGTCGTCCTCCTTGCTTTGCTTTCCCTCGCATGGTTTTCTAGCTTGTCAAGTTTCCCAAGGATTTCAAACTAATCGCCCAGTTTTTCTCGATTCTAACACAATCTCTCGTTGCAGAAACTGATATACAAAGCGCCATATTTGTACGGGCCTGATTCAAAAGGGATATACTCTTTTGTTTCTCCAGAAGCTGCGGGCTATCAATATTAACCTCAACATCCCGTCCTTCTATCCACTGGTTTTCTTGAAGCCATGGCTAAGGCTAAGGTGCTTGTGGATCAAAGCAGCGACAAGAAGCAGGCTATTCAAAATGGCGGAATAAGAAAAGCCCGGAAGCCGAGAAAGGGTAAGTTCTGATATAAAAAAATAGTAGGTTTGTATATATACTAACTGCTATTTGTAGTGGCGAACGGGAATAGATAACATCGTACATTAGAAGATCCGAAAGCACGTCAGATGGAGCTTCCGTTAATAGTCGTGACACGCTTAGATCACCTATCGCTACCTTACCTGACAATGCACAACGACCAGAGGCAACTGGAAATCCACCTGCGTGGGCCGTTCACCGCCCCGAGCTATGCGACGCCTTGCCATGGTTTCGCTCAACTCAAGGAGGCTGTTACTTTTCAGACGGCATTGCGTATGGTGTATTAATAGATGCAGATGCCGGTAAACGGGCATATTTAGACCACGAAGTGATAATATCTCGGGTGTAAGTTTGTGTTACAGACCCGGTATTTCCTTCACTAACTCATATATAGTGGCGGAGGCTGTGGGAAAGAGAATGGTGAACTTGTCCTCAAGAAAGATGTTGACGACAAGAATCATGCCTATGTGGCTTTACTGTTCAACCTACAGCATGGTATTCCTGTCATGCTCATTATCGGTATGTTCTCTCTGAACGAGCTATGGCCTTGACCACGATGGTAACATCTATGCAGGTGATAACAATGAGATATGCGAAACCAAGGTCCCACATCGGTACAACGTGATGGACTATTTCCGGGTGACGGATATTTGGTGCGAAAAGGTCAACGGTCACGTAGGCGCGCAAGTCCGTTTCGAAAAGCTCAATCTCGAGTCGACAAGTTGGTGGGCGGTTAAAGGCCTCGAAAGACCACTTCCTGTTGCTGAACGCATGGATGCTAAGCCCGCAGAGCGTGGAATCTGCGCTGCCTGTGGCGAGGCAAACTATCAAATTTATGCTCAAGGATGGATGTGTTTAACACCAAATTGTCCCCAGTTCTGGACTATCGACGGTCGACAACCACCAAAAGAGTTGACGTTCGCCCCGGAATTTCTTAAGATGAGATGCCAGTCCCCATGTTTGGTTCGGCCGCAACATAGCCTGGTACCCGATCTTCTCTCCACCTTCCCCAAGGGTAACAAGTACTCTAGAACCTTGCGAGTGATGTGGAAAGGGATCGTGTGCCCGAAATGCAAAAGATGCGTTGCAAGGACATATTGGAATGGCTGGGTCTGCCCGTTAGATGACTCCGGGTGTGGCTTTTCTCATTTTGGTACTCCGGATCCAGTCGAGTTAAGGGCAATCCTCTCCGAATTCGAGATGGGCGCAATTGGCCACAGATACCCAGCTAATAACAAGCTTCCGCACCGCCCGCGTATTGAATATCTACGAAATTACCGGTTGGATACGTTTGACTTGGGAATGGGCAATCTTCTAACCCATTTTGCTGCTAATAACACCGTTAATAGTCGCGAGGGCGGTCCGAACGATTTGTTCAGGGAGCTATGCATGGAAGATATAGGCCTGAGACGGCATAAGCTTCAACAGAGTGTCGGTAAGTGGGCCCAATAGTTCTTTTTTTCAGTGGTCAACTAGCCCTTTTGTGCTGCATATATCCGCTGATAGTTTGGGATTCAGTGAAAGAAACATTGACGTCGCACTTTGCCGTAAATTTTGTAAGTCGCCGTCTGTCCTGGTACCTTCTGGATGGTTCCTTACATTTGTCAGGGAATGCCCTACAAATATATAGTCGCGGTTGATTCCAAATCATTCAGCGAAACACCACCGTTCTTACTTAGAGCGCTTGGGCGTCTAACCTGGGCTGTTCGCAAAACGGTGCCGGCAGCAGAGTTTCAACAGCCCAACGAGCTCCTCACTCTGGGTTATTTTGAAAAGATGTCAATTGGAGTAAGTTCATCAAGGCTCATACATAGAATTTTGGTTTGGAGGTATCTAACCCACTTAGTACCACGATGATGGCGAGGACACACTAGGTCCAACTATCGTAACGCTGTCCCTCGGAGCCCCGGCGACCATGAACATCCGCCTGAAGCAGAAGTACTTTAAGATCCCGGAGGAAACGAAACAAAGGGTCGAACCTAACGATCTGATTCTGCCAAGCTGCTGCATGGAAGCTGAGCGACGCGAGTTAAAGGCACTCTACGATAGCAAGCAAATCACCTGCGCCGAATACTGGACCCGCCTTGGGGCTTTGCGATCTAGTAATAGGAGAAGGGAGGCGAGTCCCATCTGTTCCCTGGAACTCCATCATGGTGATATGATCGTCATGCACGGTGCCAATCTGCAAAAGTACTACGAGGTATGTGTATCCTCGAACGACCGGCCCATGATCGACAACTGACAATGGTGTAGCACTCTGTGATGCCGAACGGGGAGCTTCGATTTGCTCTAACGGCCAGATATGTCATCCCGGAAAAGCTGGCTGAAGAGGTACGGTGGAAGGGAGATTATACCCCGAGCTCGGAGTACGAATACGACGGCGATGACTAGTTAACGGCACACCGTACATACGAAGTACAGACCTCACTTATATACGCTTTGAAAGTTGGCCGTGGGAAAGTTTGGTCGGAGTCAGAAAGTTTGAATCTTTTGCCGCTTGGGTGCATCAATCTCTGGTGTTACGGATTATATAAGGATTGCATTTTTGGTGCTTTGAGCGATGGAGCTGGCTTGGTTTCTTGGGCACCCAGCTGTATTTATATATGTCACTGTCTACCATTATCCATATGAACCCGGACTGTCGTGAACTGCACTCCTTCCCAATGTAGCGAACGCTGAGTCAGCCGAGATTAGATAAGGAACTGCGGGGGTTAAGGCTGACTAAAGCCGGCGCTAAGCCGCTTTGAAGGAGGCTCCAACGCGACCGAACCTAAAGCGAACGTCCCAAGTCACAACCTCCCGTCACTTGTGGCCCGTCAGCCCCCTTGTCCGCCTGCTCATCGTCGTTCATGTCATTCGTTTGCGCTGCGATTTTCCCACTGGGATTCATTCTTTAGCCACAGCCCTCTATCTGCGCCGTGTTCTGTCTCCCCGCCCGAATCCGCCGTCACGAGCGTCTCTCCTCCCAACGGCATCCCCGAAGCGTTTCCCACTGTCTCGTTTTCGTTGCTTGGCATGGTCCCATCGATGTCGGACCCCTACACGCCCTCCACTTCCCCCAGAAAATTCTTTAGGGATTGCGTTTTGTCGGGATCCCGCCCTCTTTGAACGCTTGGATGCGTTTATAAGCCGATTTCATCGTTCATTGCGCCATGGCGTACCAAGACAATATCCCCCAGCGCTTCTACAGTCAGAGCAGCAGCTCTGGCTCTCAATCTCAGGTGCCATCGAGGTCGCAGTCGCACGCGCAGTATTCGTCTGTTTCTCAGCTCGGTCCCCAGCAGCACCAGGTGCCTTTGCGACGCACCCCGAGTTATCAGTCCGGTGACGACGCAGGTTATTTTCACGATCACCAGCCAGCCGTCGGCGGGAACGGCACGCACCAGGACCAGTCCGGCCGCACGGGGGAATATCCTGCCGTTGGTGGAACTGGCTCACAAAGAACACACAGCTCTAGACATTCTCAGTTCTCTGTTGGCAGTTCTCAGCACTCTGTGATGAGCCACGCGTCGTCGCACGGTTCGGCCATGTCGGGATATCAGCACCAATATCAACCGCCATCGTCAGCGTCTCCCAGCCAGCCTGCCTATAACCCGCAGCAATTCGCGCAGCCATCTCCTCCCACGTCGTCGCAGTCGAGCTATAACCCCCAAGCGTTTTCCGCGACTAGCATTCCACAGTACGCAAGCCAGGCCTATCAGCAGTATAATCCTGCCGTCTACCAATCGCCAACGGGTTCATACCAGTCGTCGCAGTCATCTCCAAATCCTCAATGGCAGACTCCCCAGACACCGCATCCCTACGCCCCTGCCTCACAATATCAGCCTCAGTTTCCTCAGCCGCAATCTACTGGCCAACCTCCGCCTCCTCCTCCTCGACCCCATGAGCCGTTATATAATACCTATCCACCTCTACAGATGCCCAGCTCTTCTGCAAATCCACCCCTAGGCTATTCATCGAGCATCTCCCAACATTTGGTAACGTCCCCTATTGCTACTCCCGCACCAGGATACTCTACGTTAGCCCCACCGCCTCCTCCCTCTGCGATTACTCCATCATATACACCGAACGATGCTTTCCAACACTCCCAGACTCATACTTCTTACTCGGTCGCCTCTCCATCTCAACATACCTCGCCGAATCCTCCTCCCCATGCCCCGAGCCCACAAGACACTATGCCAGGACTACCTCCCTATCGTCCCCTGAACGAGGAGCCCGCATTTAATAATCGACCGACATCACTTTCTATTTCATCTAGAATTTCCATGACGGACTCTGCCCCTATACCTCCAGTGCATCAAAGTCAGCCTTCATCGCCGCGACGTACAGACACGCTTACCCGTCACCCACAAGCACGTCCGTTACCAGGCCCGCCCAGTGAACAAAGGATCGGCCACGAGAATGTCAATGTGGCCTTCAACGGTGGAGTGGAAAATGAAATGAGCTACGAGGATATTATGAAAGAGGTGGAAGCGGCTGTCATGGAAGGAAGACCAGCAAGTACCAGGCGTCGCAGTTCACGTGCCAATCATTCCATCCAGCAGCAACCACCCATCCAGGAAGCCGATGAGGGTTTTGGCAGTCCGCGAAATTCGCAGCGAGTATCTCCGGATTTTACGCAAGGCCAAACTAACGGTCATGAAAATATCAGTTCGACTGGCACTGGACAATACGTCAATTACACAGCCTACAGCGATGATAGTGAAGCTGAAGCGGCTGCTGGCTTGGCAGCATTACAGATGGCCGAAGCGGAGGAAGCGGCTATACGCGCGAGGAGGAGTACGCAAACATCGATGACTGCTCCATATTCATCGCACAATGATCCTCCACTCTCTACTGCCGGAAATGCTGAATCGAGCAGCGATAGCGATTTTCATCGTCACGACATGGGGCTCTACGGCGGAGGCTATGATGCCCAGTTGCAATACGGATATTCTGGTAATGAACATCTTGCACCGACGTCTGAATCCCGCCACGATTCAAACGAGTTGTTGGAGGAGGAAGCAAACGGTTCGGATTATGAGTATCCGAATATTAATGACGAGTCTATTCACCCATTTCCCACATTGAACCCTATTGCGCGAGTGGATACCTTTGGTACTGGCGGCTTATCGGACCCGTCTCTTAATTCCAGGAGACTTAGTTTTGATGACGGTGATGAGACGCTTCTCTCGGCTAGGGTAGCCCAACAAAATTCCTTCAGTGCTACGCCAGAAGAAGGTGAACCTCAAGACCTCTTCTTTCACCCTGGAATGAGCTCACGCCCCTTGCCACCACCGCCCGTGAACACTCGATTAGCGTCACATCTCATACCTGCTGGGACTTATCGAAATCACGAACAAGCATATCAGGAGACGTATGATCAATATTCCCAGCCTCAGTATCCAGTTACACCGGAAGCGTTCGCCCAAGCCCACGCGGGATCTTCAACCGTTCCACGATCGACATCTTTTACTGGGCACACCACAACACCCCGTACTGACCCGATCATTCGGTCGAAAACTGATGCGGACAAGGTCAAAATCAAACAAGGTTATGACTCTTCCTCAATATCGAGCCCTTCGGTGCCCATAGACCTCCCGGCTATTCCTGCCGGCAGAAGGAAGAAATTCAACCCGGCGAAGCTCTCCTCTGAGCAATTCAAAAAATGCACGGAACCCTGGGCTCTAAGTGCTATCGTAGCTTGGGTAAAGGACCTGAGCGAGGATGAAACTGATTTAAAGCAACAAGCCGTTGTGGATGCGATTGTTGCGTTGTTTACACACAAAGTTCCTACGATGAACACTGCTGATGCTGAGACCCTCGGCGCACGCGTGGTAAAGGACATGTTTGAAGCTGGCGCTTTGATCCAAGATGAAGAGTGGGTCAAGTTTGGAACGGAAACGCTCTCTGGAGTTCTATGGCAAATTACCGGTCGAGGTTGCTACTCTTCTCGCCTTCATGATGTGGAAGCCGAACCCTTTGGCCGATGTTACTCTCACCATTGTATGAGGACATTGAAGAAGATTAATCTGCAATCTCAAATAATGGAACCTGAGAAGAAAGCTGAGGACTGGGCTACTTTCTACAAGATCGGAAAAGAAGTCTTCACAACACATTCAAAAAAGGAAATTGAACGCCAAAACAACTTACATGAAATTGTTACGACAGAAGACTCGTTCATTTCCCAATTGGATGTTGTACGAACGCTTTATCGGGATCGACTATCTGACTCGCAGCCCTCTATCATAAATCCTAAACGCCGCGATAAATTCTTGAAGGACGTCTTCGGTAAAGTTGATGAAATCAAGAGGGTCAACGAAAATCACTTACTTGCTCAGCTGAAATATCGTCAAAAGGAGCAGGGCCCCTTTATTGTTGGGTTTAGCGATATCTTCCGAGAATGGATACGAAAGGCTAAAGCAGCATATGTTGATTATGCAGCTACTTTCCCTACTGCGAATTACCTTGTCAGACGTGAAGCGGAAACCAATCTGCTCTTTAGGCAATTCTTGAACCAGGCGCGAGAGAATAAGATGTCGAACAGACTAACTTGGGATACTTATTTAAAAGCTCCTATCACACGGATCCAACGGTACACACTGCTTTTGTCTACAGTGCACAAGAACATGCCCAAGGATTGTGAGGAGAAGGCGAATTTGTGGCAAGCCATTGAGGAGATAAAGCTGGTAGCCATGGAATGCGATAATAAAGTAGGCGACATGTCCAAGAAAGTGAGCCTGAGAGAACTTGGCGCGAAATTGCAGTTGCGACCAGAAATGAAACAACTTGTGGAGCTCAATCTCGAGCACCTTGGTCGTGAAATCATTTATCAGGGTGATTTGCAACGGCCTAGGACGAAACGATTCAATTGGGTTGATACACGCGCCATTCTGTTCGACCATTATCTTGTTTTAGCGAAGATCGTAACCAACCGAGATGTCAGCAGGTCCGTCAAATACGAGACATATGATGTCTCCAAACTCCCAATTCCCATGGATCTACTGATTCTGGAGAGTTCGAACGATGATCCTGTGATGAAATCCTCCGTTAAGGGCATAACGACTATAGCCCCGCCTATCAAGCAGGGTACCGGACCTGGAACATTGAACCACACTAATACAAGCAGTTCAACCAGCTCTGGAGCTTCTGTCGGTTCTAATAAGACCATCGTGCCTAATTCCGCTATCGATGGCTCGTCCAAAGATGACAAGATACTTTATCCTTTCAAAATCAGACACCTTGGAAAACCAGACCTGTATATCTTGTACGCCAACTCGGCACAAAGCCGACGGGAATGGTGCGAGAAAATTATTGAAGCAAAGACGAAGCATGCTGCTTCTCTTTACGCCCAGAATGCGGAGCCCTTTAGATTACGTGTGCTATCTGATTCGGCCTTTGCTTACTCTGAGCTCGCAGTTGCCTCCAAGAGTGTAGTCATCAAGGATACACCATTAGATCGGGCCATTCAAGAAGTTGAAAGGCGATACGCCAACAATTTATCCCGCCCCCTACCGATTTGCCGGGCCTCAGTTAATTGTGCAACCGTATTCCAACAGCCGAACGGCCGCAAAATGTGTGCGGTTGGTACAGATTATGGTGTTTATATATCCGATTATGACGATCCTCGTGGTTGGACTAAGGTACAGCTTCCTGTGGACGAACTTTTGCAGATGCATTTTCTAATGTTTTGGACTAGGTAATTGGAATGCTAAGGGTGACTCAAATATCGGTGTTTGAGGAGTTCAATTTATTCCTTTTGATTGCTGATAAGTCACTAATCGCGTATCATCTCGACGCCATCTGCCCAGAGAGAGGTATGGCCGTTGCGCAAGGTGATTCACAACGCCGTGCCCCCCAAAAATTATCCGGCAATCGAGAAGTTGGTTTCTTTGCCGCTGGGCGGATGAAAGATCGTGCCCTCGTGTTTTATAAGAAGCGCGACGGGATCTCTTCGACGTTCAAGGTATTTATTTGCATCGATTTTGATTTCCCCGCTACCTTATACAGGTTTATTAATTTGGCTTTTAGGTGTTGGAACCTGTCCTTCAAAAGACATCCTCCGTGAAATCTCGCTTCTTGCGCAGAGGCCATACTGACTTTTTCCGTGATTATGATGAATTCTACATTCCTGCGGACAGTTATAGCATTAACTTATTCCATACATCTCTCGCCATTTCTACTTCCCGGGGGGTTGAGGTTCTCACTCTCGACAAAAAGCAGCCATGGTCGGTACCAAATCTTCGATCCGATCAGCCCGACGCTCAAGCGCCCCTTACACGTATCGCCAACCGGATTAAAGAACTTCGACCACTGGGAATGTTCCGTTTAAGCGACAGTGAGTTCTTAGTGGCTTTTGAAGAGTGTGCAGTCTACGTCAACAAGCATGGCGACGTAAGTCGCAGCGTGGTCATGGAGTTTGTCGGAAAAGCTCATTCTGCTTGTCTCTATGGGAAGTTCCTTATACTCTTTCACGACGACTTTGTCGAAATTCGTAATGCGATAAATGGCCGCTTGAGACAGGTCATTGCCGGGAAAGGTGTGAGCCTTTTAGATGACGGTGGAAATTGCAACAATAGTGTTGGGGGTTCAACCCAGTCGGCACTGGCATCGATGGCTGGTAGCTTTAACGAAGCTGCCTCTAATACAATTTCGTCGAACGGACTTGGCTTATCGACTGGCTTCAGTACCGTTCCCCGTACGGTGAAAATCTGCATGCAACACCCTGAACACGAGAGAAGCCAGATAGTGGTTGAGCTGGTGGAAAACGAGGGACAGAAAGATTAAACCAAAATTCAAATTCTTACAGTTATTATTTATGACTTCCAGCAGTCCCTATGGGTCATGGCAACAAAGATATGGGCGGGTGGCTGGTTATAACCTTTCGGACTTTTAGGTTGACTGTCCCCTGAAGGGAGGGTTGGATCCTGGGGGTGGATTTTTAATGACTTTGATATCTTCCATGACAATGGCTCATCCTTTCCCATTTCTTCTTTATTTGGACTGTGGCATCGCGGGTATGATGTATAGAGGGTGTGATGACAAAGAGCTATGTTTCAACTTTGATATTTGCCTCTTTTCACTTTTCTTGTGTGGATGTGCAGGATTTTTCAACTTCTCCTTTTAAATAATGCCTTATGTTGTGTTTATGATTCTTTCCATGGTTCTGTGGGTACATTTTCGATTCTTTCTTGCCTGTACCTTTGATTTGTTTTATACCTTCATTCAAATGGTTTTTATCACCCCGCTTTTTTAATTTGCTTTCTTTTTATGTGGCTGTAGGGTCTTTTGCTCTTGATCGCTCCGTCGCTCGTCTCCTCCCAACCCCAATATGGCGCGAAAAGAAGCAAAGCCTGAAATCACTCACCACGAGGCGATTGAAAAGAAAAAGGTCATGATCCCACTTCTAAGGTCGATGTACAAGACAGTCAATGCATTCAAGCGCTCTATCCCGAATAATGCCCTTGAACAACTGGGAATCAAATTGCTACCCTTGGACCTCGAGCCACCGCCCCCCAATAGTAACAACTATTATAAACCACTCCGTTAAAATGGGTACTCTAAGTCATTTACCTCCTTCTACCCTTTTGGGGATAGTGACGATGAGGATGACGAAGATAGGTCGGACAGTAATGATGATGTGCTGGTAAAGCTTTCGAATCTCTCAACCAAAATGGAATTGCTGTGGCACGATAATTCCCATCACACGCTTTGGCAGCGAGATTAGTGAGTCTCTTGATCTTGCGCGTTTCTTCCAAGTCTGCCATGGCTTTAATATCACAATTAGTTAACTAACCCTTCTCTGAACAGTGTTGTCCAATGCTACCGAGAAAAACCACACGTCAACCTGACTGAGTATGCTCAGTTGGATGGAGCAGAATACAGCTGGATCACAACCAATCGGATTCAAACAGTTTCTGAGAAGTATCCGCACTGCAAATGTGTAGTCGTACAGGATATAGAGCCCGACGAAGAGCTGAAACGGAGTGAAATTCTCCCAATTCTTGTTTTCATGCGTTGGAGAATGGGTCTGTATTATTACCAGCAACATGAAGTCTTTCCAGTGTGTTGATCCCATTTTCAATTCTTCTTTCCCTGATGTGAGACTTCTCCACAGGCTTCTGTGCTGACTTATCTATGATCCACGTAGGTTGAAGTCCTGTCCCTCTATGGTGGGCAGGCTCGCATCCTTATCCCCTCAACCGGAGGCGAGTGCCTTTTAGCGTAGTTTACTAGGGCAATATCACAATACAAAGATTATAGAAGCTGATTGGACAAAGTTTGTACAAGCTAGGAATTTGTATAATTGATTAGCTAATCTATCAAATTCATGCTGTCGATGGTGGCAGTGCTCATGAAGAACAGAATACCCCATCCTTTGCCTAGATTCTGCATAGAGATTTGTGGAATTTCGGATAGTTGATATTCTTGGATGATATAAAAGGACTGAACAATGTGTATAGGCTTGTCAGATCAATAGGCTGTGAGATTGAGGCTCCAAGAATAGGCTAGAGATTTCACTCCCCTCATACTTGACCCAGAGATCTCTTCTTGGCTGGCATGGTAGGCTGTATATCTCATATTTCATGTGGAAATTCATGTAGGGAGGTTTTTGCTCGGGAACCAAGTGTAGGATCCTAAATTTCATGTTAGCAACACGTCGCGTAGGCCTTGGGAGGTTGTTTTTAATGAGATTGCTAACCAATCAATTCCTTAGTATTTTAGTATGAAGCTCTATTGGCTATTGAACGCCATAAGAAACAAGTGCCTGTATTTGGCTGCCAAGCCGCTAAAAGGCACTCGCCTCCGGTTGAGGGGATAGGCTACTATGACGGAAAACACCTCTGGCATTCAAAAAAGTCCGATTTATGACATCCGTGGGAGCGAGGGCCTTAAGAATTGGGAACTGCTCATGCGGTGGTGGTTTAGTGACGCTGTAGGGGATACTACCCGCCTTCCATTCCCTCAAGATAGTATCAACGGCGTGCAGAATCTTGCTATGCGTCCCGCTCCTGCGCCTCAGGTAGGGAGTGGGCAGTGAATTCCGGCCGTGGGTTGAATGCTGGTTTTATTATTCTTTTTGAACCTGTTCTATGACTATATCTTTGGTCATCCTTTTGTATGTTAGGTAAATTCTGCTGATAAAGTGCAGCAGGTAGTCTTCATAGTCCCAGACTGCTGTTTGCTTTACCATCGTCTTTCTCAGTATTTTAAGCTCAGTGAAGCAGGTACTAATCTGTCATCTCATTATCTAACTGTGTACTGTACCCCATACTTCATTTCAATCGCGGCGCCCAGCCTTGCTGCTCATGGCCATACTGTGTAAGAATTCCATATCCAGAATCTACTGTATGTGTATGATGAAGTGCTTCTTGGTCTGTTCATCATGAATGTCATGCTGAGAGCGGAAGGAAACAAGCGTGAGAATGGAAGGACGGCAAGAGGTAAAGAAAAAAAAAAAGAAAAAAAGAAATGAGAAAAGGGGGGAAGATGACGGAAGAGAGGCAACGAGGGCGGCAAGCGCCCTCTCTCCAGGCTGGGCCACAGTCATTCTGTGAAGCCATCGCGTAAAGTTGACACGGGGAAGCGATGCAGTGAAGATAGAGCGCTAATCAGGACGCGGACAGGTCCAAAACTTCGTGTACAATACATAACTACATACATACATACGCACATCAACCATGCTAAGTAGGCAGTAGACCCAGCAATGGGATGGCTCTGAAAACCAATAAACCAAACTCCAAGACCAGATATAAACCCGCGCAAACCATTCGGGCCCCTAAGAATCGAACTCCACCTTATCCACCACAATACTCTCCGGCCTCTCCCCAGTATCCCCAGAAGCCGAGGAAGATGGCAACAACCTTTCCTTCTCATCCTTCTCCCTAACACTCATAACTTCCGCGCCTTCAAGAAGATCCCTATCCCTCTCTCTCGCCGCGTGCGTAGCTCTATTGTCTCTCCTCCGCTCATCATAACTAGCGCCATCGTCGTCCTCATCATCCTCGTCATCTTCGGTATTTCGGCTAAGCGCATTGCGCTCCATCTCACGCTGCGCTTCGTCCATCCGCTTCTTCACTTCAGCAGCCATGCGCATTCCGTCGGAAACGATGTTGTCTAAGACGCCGCGCAGGCCTTTATGGCCAGGTGGCACGATACCACCGGATGCACCTGCGACGGTAGTGGCACCCGTTGTTTTAGGGGGTGAGGTACGGGAAGAGCTGAGATTGGCGAAGGTGGTGAGGTTTGAAGAAAGGGACGTTGAGCGTGATGTGGGCGTTGGGCGATCGGACAGGTGGAATGATTGCGGGAAGAAATTTTCAAAGAATTGCTCAAGGAGCTCGTCGGCGAGAATTACCATACGGAATGTGGGGAGCGTGATATGGAGCGGATGGGCCGGATCAAGGGCGATATTTGCAGACTCAGAGGCGAGTTTCGAAGGCGAAAGTGGAGTATCCTGAGGGATTGCAATCGGTTGGGGTGAAGGAGGCGTATTGTTTGAAGTAGAGGGTGTAGGAGGTTCATTTTTATCATCGTCGTTCACGTCTATGAGATCATCTTCATCCTCGTCGTCGCCAATGCTGAATGCATCAAGCTTGGCTTCCGTCTCTGCAATATTGTCGCTTCCAGAACTATCTTGATTCTGAGGGTGGCTTGGGTCAGCGTACTCGAAACATCGCTGAATAAAATCGCTAACGCTACCCAAAAACTTTTCTTCGGGAGCTAGGTTTGTTCGCGATCGTTTTGGGGCTTGATCTGTCTCCTCCGCCTGGGTAGGATTCACAGTCCCTTCAAATCCCCGTCGAGACAGGAACAATAAAGCCTCAGACATCCGCAAGATGCCCTCTCTGTCTACCTGTCCAGTTCCATTGTCGTCGTAAAGATCAAAAAAGTAGTTTATCGTGCTCATAATGTCTCGAGACCCTTTTATGCGCGCCAGACCGTTAACTACGTTCTGTAGACTCAAAGCTTCACTCTCCTCGGTATGCCATTTGTTGTAAAGGCGTCGAACAAAGTCGTGATCGATCGGTTCAGGATAGTTACCCGAATCCAAGGACTTGATACTTCTCATACTAGAAGCACGATACGACCCTTTATCACGATCCGAGGTTGACTCTCTGAGTGACGAGCGTGGTGAGTCTGCAACTGCCCATCTTGCCGTGGCAGCTAAGAACTCCTGGAATCCTTCGTAGTCCATTTGGGTAGGGCTTGGACCAAGGCCGACGCGACCAACTTGGGCTTCCGCATTTGAGGCCAAGACAGAATAACGAGCAGCACTCTTCCTATACGCTCGATCCATTCGCTTTTTCTCTTCTTCTATCAGTCTCATTCGCTGTTGTCGATCGTATAAAACTTCATAAAAGCGGTCGTAAATCGCGCCTAAGTCGTCAACGCTCAACTTCTTACTCTCGGGGCCGAGATTCCGGATAGAAGTTCGTTTGGCAAAGCCTTCAATGCTGTCGAGAACGGCATCCTTATGCTTGGCCCTTTCCTCGGTGATAGTAGAGTGAGTAATTCCAGAGAACTCTTTGAAGGCAACAACCATGAGCTCCTGAAATCGAGTGATGGCACGTAATTTCGGATTTTCTGATCGAGGGTGAGCAGATTCATCGAGTCGCGAAAAGTAAGACTTGAGGATGGAGATAAAAGTCCCATCATCAGTGACATCAAGCAACTCTTCACCGTTTATTCGTAGTATTGCAAGGCCAACTTGGAACAAAACTTTTGGACCCTCGAGGAAAAACACATCTAGAACGCGAAAGGCAAACACAAGGGGCATTGAGTTGATATATAGAGAGAGGAACCAAGGGAGAGACACGACAGAGAGCTGAACATCTGAGCGCACTAAGTGCTCCCAGAGAATAGGCATCGTCTTTTCAACAAGCGATTCGAACACTTTTTGATCCAGCAATGTTCCATACATGGTGGTGGAATAATAGCCTGGAAGCAGGCGGTCGCATAATACAGATAGGAGGAAGAATGCCTGTGCTTCGGACATATAGCTATGGAAGTTAGTATGGAACATTAAGATAGGGTAGTGCGCTCTTACATCAACAAGGCTGCAACAACGATATTCATCGCCTGGCAATATCCAATTTCTTCGTTTACCCAGCTATAGGCGGTTAAAACTCTCCGCAGTCTCCCAATCCCTTCTTCGCTTTGAAACCCGGGGTATTCGGGTAAGCTGCGATTCAAATCTTTCTCAATCTCATCAATCGCGAGAGATTCGCGCCCAGAAAACTTGGAGAGGGTCTCTTCATAAAGATTTGGAGATCGGAGGCGCAGGTAGAAGGAACCGGAGGAAATTTCCCATATCTCACCCCGTAGCCGATTAGGAAGCCCAACACGAATAAGTTTGTGAAAGGTAGGCTGTCTTATTATTGTCGCGTTGCGGCCGTTCTCTTGATGATCCCAGGCTTTAGCAAAACGAATATAGCGGTCATTATATGTGGCATACCTCTGAAATATTCTCCCCACAACCTCATCTTGCTCCGGTCTCTTAGCTTGCGCGCATCACCAGGATATCTAAAGACCAAACCGAGCCCTGTGTCGGGAGGCTCTCGAGGTTGCTGCTCCGATTCAGCCTGGTCTTTGGGTTTTCCCACCCTTGAAGCCGTAAACATGTATTCAGAATGGCACTCTGAAATGACGCTTCGCAAACTATCCACTTCCTTCATGCTCTCCCTCAACCCCTTCTTCAAGCCGTTGCAAAAGCGTTCGCATGCCTGCCGACTGCCAACAAGATGCAGGGTAAATCTTTGCGCTGTGGCTTGCGAATCTTTACCGCTTCCCTTGACCAGCGCACCGTTCCATGTCGTCAGAGCGAGCGAAAATACGTGGCCAAGGCTATTCAGCCGTTCTACTCTCCGAATCGAACACAGCGGCAAGGTGAAGCCGTTCCCCGACGGACCAGTCCCATGTGTCTGTCCCGTAAACGCCGATGATGCGCCAAAGCTAGCGGAGGGTAGAAAGCTCGTAGGTTGCGTAGAAAAGCATAGGAATCGTTCGCTCAAATGCAGTTTTCCGGGATACGTATTTCCTGGTCGCCCCGCATCCCGAGTCCGCTCGCCTTGGGTAGAGCTAGACGTAGTCGAGGAGGAAGATGTGTAAGGCACAGGTAAAACAAGCTCTGCTGTGATCTCCTGAAGCGGGTTTTGGGAGTCGGGAAGGCGGAATTGTTGGCGGAACAGGGTTCCTTTGGAAGGATTGCCGTCAGATGTGGTGCTCGCAGCAAAGCCGAAGTTGGCGGCGTCTACAAGCGACTGGGCCTTTTGAACGAGAGACGAGAGCTGAAACATAGTCGCTGCAGTTCATTTATCAGGTATACAAAGTGGAGATGTATGGGTTTGCGATGGTTTCGGGCTGATTGTTTGCGATGGAGGGTAGTAGAAGCGGGAACTTGGGAGGCTCGTCACAGGCAAATGAGGCTCCGTGGCCGCATTGTAAGAATGCTGCAGGTGAAAACGAGCCAAAGCAAGCAAAAACTGCAGCAAAACTAATGCCTTTAGCCCATGCTTTGAAGATGTCTGTTCTGCGGAGCCAAATTGTCCAAGCCGCGCGCTTTTGCTATCAACCGTCAGGCGGAGCTCCCATGAGGCTTGGAAGGATGGAGCCGGCAATACGATGTTCCTTGCCGACCCTGTACCCCGGCCGGTCCCCGGTACTAGGTAGCCCTCATCGTTTACCCTGAAGAGACTGGATTCTACGCGAAGAGGAAATTCATTTTAGAAAGGCGATTAATTCATCGTCATACTTCATCTAACAGAGATATCACAAAATAGAAAAACTGTAGACAATAACTAACTAATGAGCGGCATAAACCGAAATCCTTGAACCAATAAGCAGAAAAATGCAAAACCACACCAGCAACCAAATTCAAATCAAATTCAAATCTTCCAATCGTCGATAATGCAGCGTCCGTCGTCCTCGACTTTAATATGTATTGTCACATTCTCCAGTAATGTGTAATGTGTAATTCCTTGATCAAATTACTCTTTTTCGGCGGGCAAGGTGATGTTTCCGTAATCTCCTTCATGATACTGAGGGGGGAGATCGGGTTGTTCATCCGCCATGAGTGCTTCCTTCTCAGGAATTTCTCCTTGCTCTTGATCGGCAATAGGCCTGGTGCGACGTCGATTGCAGTAGGCCCGAACGGCGGCAAAGCCACATGCAAGTTGGATACCAATAATGACGACACTAATAGTGGCGACGATGCCAATAAGTCCAGGAAGGAAGACTGTTTTTAAAACGTGGCAGAAGCGGTGAGCAAAGCTCATAGATTTATGTTGGCGATGAGAAGATCCGCCATGGGGTTTCATCTGGTGAGATGGGCGTTCGTGATGATGTGGACTGCCAACTCCGTGGGGCTTGCGATGGCATCCCTTTCCCTTGAACGAGAGTTTCTTTGCGGCACTAAGGGCTCGAACTTTGGCCGTGATAAAGAACGCACGGATACGAGCAAGAATAAGATGTTTCAGACATCTGCGGTTTCTTCGACACTGTCGCCACGATTTCCTTGGCATTGAAAGAATGTTGGCTTTGGCCGTGACAATAAGAAGATCGCCATTTGGAGATTGGATAATAGGCAGGTAGACAGTGGACACAGGCACTGGAAAGCCGGCGAGGTCAATGACGGTAAAGTGGAAAAGTAATAGGTTGGAGGCGGAGTCTCGGCCATCCACCACTTGGAACTCCAAGCCATATCCCATTTGGACTGGGGGAGAGACCTTCATATCCGACTGCCGATGAAGAACGCCTTGAAGAGAAGTTGGCCGGCGGACCATGGGAAAGATAGGTTGCTCATTCACGAAGAGAGTATTGCCCTTGGTGCTGAAATTAAGAGGCTGTAGATAAACGTCCAAGTTAGTAAATGAAATCGTTGATCCGGGCGACTGCAAAGGGGTTGACTTACCAGCCAGCTATCAAAAGCATCGTTAAATACTACAACTGAGCCTTCAGAAGTAGTTGGAAACGGGCATTCATGGCACTGTAGGTGCAAATTCAAATGATTTGAGCCGCCATGATGGACAGGGCCTTTGGTGTCTGGAACCACCAGGAAGGCAGCGGACTGAAGGGCCAACAGGCTTGCCGCAAACAAATTGGTCAGCATTTTGGCTGGTTGGAAATCCTAGAAATGGACGGTCATCAAAAAGACCAGTTTGAAGTCGTTGTCGTCAATAGAAAGGGAGAGGACGATAGATAAAGGCCGACTTTGTTGGCGATGCTGGTCCGATGGGGGGCTGTGAAACGGGCGATGATGAAACTCGAGGGGCCAGGTCGGGGTACTTTGCTTTTGCCTGCAACTTGGTTGCGTTGGAAGTACCGCTCGGACTTGTTGCTCGATTTGTTGATCCCCGTGATTTCCCGCCCAATCCGGAAATTCCAACCACAAACGCTCGACGGCGACGACAGACGAGGACGACGGACGCTGCAAAATCCACCACAAAAATCCTATAAAACACCCAGTCCCTCCTGGGCGCAACAGATATCGAAGTTTGTGACTTGTGTGCCCGAGGTTCCAATGCCCCAAGCTATCTAACTAGCTGCGGACAATGTGGCTTCAGCACCAATCCCGAAGGAGGGCCGATAGCCACGAGGACAAGCAAGGAACCCTGTTTCAAAATTTGCATCAACCATCATCCCAAAGCCCGGAGGCGGGACGACTGGTTATTCGTGCAAGAGAAGAGGCATTGGAACCCTCCAGCCCATGCCACAAGGGCGGGCCGGATGGACACACGTCGTCAAATGAATTAATAAAACCGGAATCCACCCGGGATCGTTGGGTGCAAAAAAATTGACAGCTGAGCTGTGACACCCTACCCAAGCATAACCCGGTCAACTTGCAGCCAGTTGCTGAGATCAAATCTCAGCTCCTCGAGCCAGGATGGCCAAGCAGACATGTCTCCCACGTCGGAAACGAGAGTATTGGCTTCGAGCCACATCTGCTGGTCATCACTGCGGCTCCAAAGCACAATGAATGCCCAAAGAAGCATCAAGAAAACAAGGACAAGTCCTCGCCACCATCTGCTTTTTGAGATGATCACTGGCTCTGTCTGCACCAGGCTGTCTTGCGTTTCGAGGGGCACTTCGGCTTCAGTCTGGGTCGAAGTCTCCAGAAGGGCGACTTCAACCGGCTCGACTGTCTGCGTCGACCCGTCAACATTGTCCACACACGTCTGCGTGGAGTTATCAACGAATTTCGGCAGAGACGCGTCCATGCCAGAAGGCTCATCAGCCATGGCAAAACCCACAGCGTCCGAAACACCTTCACTCTCCATCGAAACGAAGAGATTCCGTTCCACGGCTTGGTCGGCCTCCAGATCTCCAATGGTATCATTGTCCACCTCGCTTTGGTGCTGGTCTTCGGTCTCATCTTGCAAACGCTCAAGATGTTTGCCAGCAGAGGCGATCTCATCGAGTGTCTCCAGAATTTGAGACACCGATTCCTCGCCTGTTGTCAGCTCGGACTTGATTGGAGTATCTGGCTCCAAGCCGGTTCCTCCGACCTCATCGTGATTGTCGGCCAATCGTTCAGAAGCCACTGATGCCTGCTCGGACTCCTTGGGCTCGAGACAGCCTAAGAGATAGAGGTTTTCCTCTGCCAGGGTCCAGATCTCGTGCTCTAATCGATCTTGCAGATTCTGAGCGTCTCTGGCATCTTGTTCTGCTTCTTCGACGAGCGTCTCAGCTCGCTCGTCTGCCTGCAACTGCTGCGCCTCCATTTCCAACAGCAAATCCCTTTGCTTAGCGTCCAAGGAGAGAATCTCTTTCCGCAGACCGTTGATTTCTTGGGCTTTCGCCCGCAAAACCCGGTCCATGGCGAGAGACATCTCCCGGAAGTGGCAAAACTTCTCCGCTGTGGATATTGTGCTGTCGTCCAGCAACAAGTCGATGCGATCGGCGCTGAGGCCGTGGTTCTCGTCGGTGTACAATTCAAGAAAACTTGAATGGTACTGGAGTTGATACGACCAAGAAGACCATTGGCTGGATGCAGTTGGCTGGCCACGATTGGCGACGGGCCATCCCCGGTTCACGATTGTACCACTCTGAACTCCAGTTGCTGTCTGCCCACCGACGCTAACTGGAGTTTTTGCTGCTTCAATCCCCCCCTTTGCAGCAGCCCAACTGGATGCACCAAATCGGGTTGTCAGGTCGAAGATTCCCCTGCCCGTCTTTTGGATCAAACGGGTGGCGGCAGCTGGAGATGCCACCGCCGCGGGTTCTTGACCTGCCAAAGGTGTTGTCGGACCAGTTGGCTGCTGCTGTCCCGTTCTGTTGTTCTTGGCGGTCTGGGACTTGGGTGGAGCACTGCTGGTTGGTTGGCCTTGCGCAGTTGCTCCAGGGTTGCTGGAAGGGCGGCCGGGCATCGTTGCTCTCAGTCGAAGAGGAACTTGAGCAGCCGGTGCTGCTTGTTGACTGTTGCCGTTTCCTCTTCCGGCGGCCTGAGAGCTTTGGGGTGTCGCGGATTGACTGCCCCGTTTGACACCCGACCCTTCGGATTGATTGCGAGTGGTTGAGGTCGGATTCTGTCCTTGTTTCCTCCCCGATTGCTTTCCCTTGTTCCGGGAACCGTTGTTTTGTCGGTTTGGCGCCATTTCGTTGGTGTGCTTGAAAATTGTCAAGTCGTGATTAGACCCGAAGTCTTGTCGAACGACTTTTGAATGGCGAAACGGTTTAGCTATTCAACATGTTAGTCGATGTTTGAGACCCTGTAAGTAACGCACTGCTATGATATTGAACTTACCAAGGGTACTAAAAGGACAGGCAGTAAAACTGCGAGTCCACGCGTTCGAAAGTCGGTATTGGACACAAAGCCGGAGCTAAGTGACGACGAACAACGCGGGGTTGAAGTCGAATTTGATCACCGAAATTCGAAAAGTAACGTGAACTCGAAGGAGACAGATCCTTGAGGGCGAGAGAGTGCAAGAACAACAGAGGGGTTAAAATTGTCGAAGGTGGCGTTTGTTCTTGCGGTAAAGAAAAATTTGTCAACGATCTGTGAGGAAAGAAAGAAAAGAAAGAAAGAGGAAGAGAAGAAGAAAGTGAGAGAAATTTATAATGGCCTCAGATCACGCCCTCGCTTAGCTTCTGACTCAGATCGTGACTTTGTTTACATGGAGACTCGCAATCTTATAGGCTGCTGGGAGGCGCGTTGACGGGACTTTCCGTGCGGTAGAAACAGGTGGAATCCGGGTTGCGTAGCAACAACATATCTGGGTTCCTTGCTTTGGCCTGCTACAGGATTCTGATGTGTTCCTCAACGGGAGCGAATGATATTCGGGGGGTTGACTCTACATTCCATGATTTAGAAAAATCTTGAAAACGCTGCTTATGCCTGGAGATTACGTTGTCTCTATATGTATGCCATGGACAAGGCTTTGAGGGGACTTGCAAACCCGTCAACGGGAAGGGTGATGGGACCCCCTGAACGCGCCCTTATAAGGGTTCATTCAACGGCGCTTTTACAGGGACTGCTGCAGCCCAAAAATCTGGTTTCAAGCGCCCTAAGGCCCTTAAAGTGCGGTTTACTTTGTTAATATCCATATGCCATTGTTTTATGTGCTCCAAGGGCCAAAAGGCGGGATCTTTTGGGCTGCTCCCCATTGTGCTTTTCTCCTTGTTGTGGATGGTGAGGTCAAAGTTCCCGGATTAGGAAATATTGAGTCACGTGAGAGATGCCTTTCTTTCCCTTGAGGCGACACTTCATCATTGATATCAAGTAAAGGCATTGGAGAGCTTTAAGAGTTTTGTGCTGATGGCTAATAAAAAAGTGGTTTTCACATTGATTCAATTAATCTCATAAATCTGCCCCGCGAAGCATTTAAACAAAACTAGTGCCTAACCATTCCCCTGAGCGAACGTACTTTACTTGTCTTCAAATGACACAAGACCATTATCTCAAAGCTTTGCCTTCTTCATCCCTGATACGCCGGACACCACCTCATTCGAAAGAAGAAAGTCCGGATACTTGAACCCAACTGCAGACCTGCCGGGTTGGGTTCTCCAGGCGCCACCATCGACTATTCATTCCAGTGTTAGCACATCTTGGGGGCTACCTTGGGTGCATACATACCAACTACTGTAGAACCGGTGACATAATTCCCAGAATCAGAGAAGAGATACACCGTTGCGTCCGCAATCTCCTTGACAGTGCCATATCGTCCAATAGGGATGGAAGATTGGTCGGCCCCTTCCTTACTGAGACGTCGCATGCCCTATAAGAAACAAATTCCGTGATCAGCTTGAGTAAAGGACCACTTGATAGGTTGCTAGATGTACCTCAGTTTCCCCAATAGGTCCAGGGCTGATGATGTTAGAGGTGACTCCGAAAGGCCCGTACTCAATAGCAACATTGTTTGAAAGTGCATCCACACCGGCCTTGGCCACTGTAACGTGTGTCTGCAGTGGTAGGCCAGTATAGTGGAGTGTGGCACTGACAAAGATGATTCTTCCTCCGGTTCCGGTGGGCGATGCTGGGTGCGATCAGCGGCGAGTAGTGATGAGCTGGGCTGGATGTACTTACGGGTAACTCCGTCAGATTTATGGGTGGTAGCGGACTTTATCAAATGAGGCAGAGTCGCCTTCAACGTATTGTATGAACCGAGCACGTCAATGTCTATCACTGACTTGAAAGCATTGGCTGATAGTTGTTCGATCGAAGCCAGGAAGTTGCCTGCGGCCCCAGCACTATCATTGAATCATCAGTTCACTGATCGGAAGCTTTTGAGAGGTTAAATAGAGGCACTGCCGTACATCACAAAATCAATTCCACCAAGCTCCCTCACACACCGGTCAACGGCATTGTTTAAGCTGTCGATTCTTCTCACATCGATGGCACCGATGCCAATGACTTTAGATCCCGCACGGGCAGTTGCAATCTCTTTTGCCGCTTTCTCCGTCTTCTCGACATTGCGGCCCACGATGCAGGCGTTTGCGCCGAGATGGACCATGGCACGGACTTGGGCACTACAGATAGTACCCGCTCCGCCGGTACAGAAGATGACCTTGTTGTCTTGGGAACAGGTTAGGGGTTATCTCAGGGGTGACGAAGAGGCGGATTCGACATACTGAAGATACCATCCTTCCACACGTCGCTCAGGTAGGCAGACTTTGGTAGAGACATTTTGTTAGATATCTAGCGGGGATAAAGGTCGTGTAAGCAAAACTGAGGGATTGCTTTTGGAATATCGTAGTTATGACTCTGGCTTGAAACAGCTTTCGCGTTGTGCCGCCGTGTTTGAGTTCATCCGCTATGAACTGGCTGATGGGCCTCGGCCGGCAGTTCGTTCTCCAGAGCTTATTTACGACTCCGGAAATAGTAGCAGCTGGGATAATAACACTATTCCAATATACGTCGGACAGAACAATCTCAATTTATGGCAGAGAACCCGTTGATGCACATCGAGGAGGTGAACTTCCGCGCCGGTGGAGCTAACAAATTGGACCTCGGCGCAGCTGACGGCTGTATCAGGCGTAAACGGGACAGAGCTCTCACAACCGGAGAAGTCCTCTCAATCGCTACCGCTAGCATTATTGCGACGACAATCTACAGTGTATCCTATCTATAACTAAACCTGAAAAGGCCCTGAGACCGTCCTTGTCCCCGGTGAATGTAACCGTCTCTCCTCCAGCGTGTATTACATAAGCTAGCTAGCTAGCTAGTTAGTTAGTTAGTTAGTTACATAAGCCAAGAGCTACCATGACGACGTTGAGGGAAAAAAGCGACAGAAACACCAGCCGGTGGGTGTGTGTTCATTCTCCAGTGGCATCGTTGAACGGAAACTTGTATGTTATATATGACACAGTGTAATCGCAATCCCTGACCCCGATCTTGCGAAGCACTTGCCTTTTATATCTCCTTCAAATTCCGTTTGTGGCAAACGGACGCCATTTCTCCCTCTAGATACAAGCGACGCTCAGCTGGAAGCCTTGACCTGGACTGCGCACAACTTATATATCTCCCGTTATGGCTTGTCCGATTACTGTAGCCAAGTTCGTGGGAACTGTTTCTCTTGGCCTTTTGACCGTACGCCATCCCATTCCTACAAAGACCTAACCATTCCGCTAATCATGTCGCCTGCCATAGGGCCTGTCCTATTCCGTGTCTACCGTTACAATTCCTGCTCTGCAGCTTCTTCCCACCGCGAACGATGCAGCCCAAGTACTGAGAGACGTCCAGCTTCGCACCCGCAGACGGGTACTCACTCTATCAAACATCACCGCGGTTTCCCTCCTCGCGGCTTTCACACTCTCGTCCCCACGTCGAAAGCATCCCTATCTCGTCTGGACCAGTTTAGTAGCGCTTCTCGGTGGCACTGGGCTCGAATTCTGGTTTATACGCGATGCACTGTCCAGTAACTGCCTCTGCCCAGCGTCCTTCTGCGGTAGCGTCTCCGCTCTTCTTCTTCATCCCGATCTTGCACATTTTAGTTTCGGCTCTTTCATTGCGGCTCATCTTGGCTGCAGTAGAATCCAAGTGCAGAATGATAGAAGGCGTGAGGAGGAAGAGTCGAATGGCAATGGGAGCGAAATCGAGATCGTCGAGGAATCGGAAGCCGTCCCCACGCCCACAACCAGAGAACAGTCCGCCACCCCCGAACCAGCTGACATGAATGGTGAAAGTGTGAGGGCAGACATGGAAAAGGAACGGAAAATCCAGAAAATAAGAGCCTGGGTTGTTGGAGTTGCGTTCTCGATGGGCGTCGTTGGTATTTGGGGCGATGGCATCTAAAAAATAAGACATTCCAAGGTGATTATCGGCTTCCGCGGTATGGGAGCACGATAAGAAGCTGCAAAGGCCGTAATGGCCAGGCTTCCATTCACGGGCCCAAACCCACTTTACATTTCAACAGATCGCTTGGATTTCCACATTATTTTGAGTATAATTTTACTGATGATTAGCATATACGGGGAACGGGTAAATGGCTTTATTATACTCTGCTTTTATCGCAATGGTCCGAATCTTCTGCTCTCTACTCTTTCATTTCACATACAATGTCCTTTTTTTTTTCCCCTTCTTTTTACTTCTCAGAAAGCTGAGTGTAATTTTAGGACAAAAAAGCCTGTAAGGGGGAGGATTTTTGGCCTTTTTTTCTTTTCGTGTCCTTGTAGCTTATCGCCAAAAGCTCTTTGGGTGGTTTAGTTATGTGCTTCTATCCGTCCGACACATGTACAGAAAAGGGCTCTTTAATAACACTCATCAAATCGTGCTACATAGCTACCTGGCCAGACCTGATCTCTCTTACAGATGAAATGAAAAGCCCCTGCATATCGACCCACCCCGGGATGCAAGTGACAAGGTGTCGCCCGCAGAAAACACCGGTAAAGCGACAACAGCGCAAAGCAAAGAGTGGAAAAAAAATCACAGCTTCGAAGCCGGCAAGCCCTGCTGGATCTCTTTCTTCGCCTCCTCTCTCAGCAGCCTCTTCAAAATCTTCCCACTCGGGTTCTTCGGGATTGAATCTACAAACTTCACTCCCCCGGTCAAGGCCTTATATTTTGCCAACCTTGCCCCCGCATACTTCTTCACCTCCTCCTCCGTCAAGCTCTCCGCCTCTTTCACCGGCTGCCGCACCACGATTGCGCGAGGATGCTCGACCTTATCGTCTGTGGGGAACGTCACCCCGATGACCGCCGCGTCCATGATCAGCGGATGGGATAGCAGCACGGCTTCAATCTCTGGTGGAGCAACCTGGAACCCACGGACCTTGATAAGCTCCTTTTTGCGATCGACAATGTACCATTTTTTGCTTTTGCCGTCGCAATAGCCGATATCGCCGGTCTTGAAGAATCCTTCAGCGTCAAAGGACTCTGCGTTGGCGCGCGGGTTTTCAAAATAGCCAGATATGATTGTCGGGCCCCGGACGCAGATCTCGCCGCGGGTATCGTAGGCGGAAATGTTATTTCCCGCGTCGTCGATGAGTCTGTAAAAAGTTGGATATTAGTACGCTCTGAGAAAATGCTGCCGGATCGACCGGGAACTTACTTCATCTCAAGGCAAGCGATGGGCCGCCCTACGGAACCCGTGGTGTCATCCTCGGGCCAAACAAACCTAGTCGCTACGCACGAAGTTTCGGTCATTCCCCATACTTGAGTATATCTCCCGTCGTCGCCTAACAGGGCGCGGAATTGCCCTTGGACATGCTTATCCAGTGGGGCAGCGCCTACCGCGCCGTTCTTGACACTCTTGAGGAATGGCTGCTGGGACAAGGGAGATTTGACGATGGCAACAGCCATTGGGGGCACGGTTGAGACTTCGCTGACTTGATATTTTTGGGAAAACTTCAAATACGTTTCGAGGTCGAAACGGCGCATGACGTAGATGACGTGTCCGGCTCGGAGCGCGCTGGTGTGAGTCGATGGCACAGCGGAGGCATGAAACATCGGCACTGCCACAATCCGGGAAATCTGCAGAGAAGGAGGTTTAGACCCGGATTGCAACTTGATGTATTAGCTTTCATCTGCGAGCACCAACCTGATAAGGCACCGGAGCGACTTCAAAGAGCAGCTCGTGCTGCGCAATTAAATTATAGTGGCTGATAACAGCGGCTTTGGGAAGCCCAGTAGTCCCGCTGCTGAAAAGCCTTGCCGCAGTCGTGGATTTACATGTCTCCAAGTCATCGAATCGAACCCAGTCCTCCTCGCCGTGGTTCAGGAGGTCAGTCCAGGAGCGACGGCCCGCAGGCAACGGCCTGCCGTTAGTATTAAACACCCAAACCCTCGAGGATGAGACGTCGTTGTCTTTTGCCGCCAAAAGGACATTTTCCAGAATCTCGGGTTCAGAAATCACAAAGCTCACCCGGGCGGTTTTGATATGGTGCGCCAGCTCAAACTGAGTGTAGGCCGGGTTCGTGCCCGCAAAGACACCGCCAGCACCGATCACTGCAAGAAAGAGTATTGGATAATAGATCTGGCGCGCATTCAGTTAGTGCGAGTCAATGAGGCCGCAAGGAGATGTCCCAAGCATACGTCATTGAACGAATGGACATTGAGACAATCGCCCCTTTTGAACCCGTTTGCTCGCAGGCCAGCAATCAGCTTTCGAATCAACACTCGTGCTTGGTTACATGAAATCGACTCGGAGGGGTTGTGTGGATTGATGTATATCTGAAGGGGTATCAGCACTTGATTCTTTGCTCTCAAGCCGACAACAGGTAGAAGAAGGAACCACATACGGGCTTGTCTTGGTCGTATGGAGGGTTGTCAAAGATCCAAGAGAGGAGGTCTTTAGTCGGCAATGGCAAATACTCATCTGGTCTAAAAAAGTCCATCTTTGCGGCAGACATGCTTACATAGGCGGTATCGAAGTCAATATGCAATTGCTTGAGAGGATTAGCTCGAAATACTAGTCAACGCCAATTGACAAAGCCATCGAGGTTGGATGATGTGTTCTTCCCGAAAAGGCAGCCATTTCTCTGCCTATATTCCATCGAATATACGGCGCGCAAGGAGGGTTGGACAACCCCGCAGACGACCTTCGAGGTACGAGGCTGGTCGGCAGTTACTCAGGGGCCCAGATGCCAGTGGATGGCTGGGGGTTTCGGCTCTCAACGAAGCCTGAGCCGGGGACTATACTCGGCTGCGTTGCCACATGTTCCCCATCACTGCGGAGCATGCGGAGAGCAAGCTTGCTATGAGAGGCAGACAAGTCCAGATCGGGGTTGATATCAGAGCGGCAAGCTCTACAAAGGCCGCATGCTGGAGCAGTCCTGCTCTCAGTCGAGCTGTCTTCTGGCACTGGCAGAGCTGTACAAGTCACTCTTGATTTGGCCGAGGAACAAAGCGGAGGTTGCAGGGCCAAGGCGGGAAGAAAAGCCACCAATCACAGCAGGAAGACGACTAAATCCCCGACTGTGCGATTGGCTGATTAAGCCAACTGCCATCCTCCCCTTTG